CAGGAGCCCAAGGACCTGGACCATTTTCTATTGCTTTCCCAGGCCATGGCAGAGATCTGGATTGGAAGTGGAGCAGCCAGAACTCGAACTGGCGCCCATATGGGATGCTGGCACTACAGGCTGGGGCTTTACCCCCTATGCCACAGCACCGGCCCCCTAAGTGGTCTTAAAGTGCAGAACACTAAGACTTTCAGATTCACCCCTCTGGGTCCTAAATTTACTGTATTTCAAAACATCATTTTATCTAAGATTAGATGTATTTCATGTACTGTCATTTTTAGATCCATGCACACTCTAGATGTTCTCTGATCTCATCAGAAAGTAAAACCACAGTAAAACACTTTCTTCACACTGAGATTCTTTAAAAATTCTTTTAAATCGACATATGCTGAGTTCCCTTTTCACAGAGGAGTCTTGCTCTTTCAGGAAAATAAATTAAAGCAATAGTTCTACGGTGAGCTTTTAATGTAAGATAAATTGTGGAGTTCTCTTCAAAGCAATTGAAAATTCTAATAATCCAGCTACCCACCGAACTCAACACTATTAATTAAAGCCTCTTTTTACTTAAAAATAAGCATCACACAAGAAAATCAAAAGAAAAATAGAATTGAGCCAAGCACAAACACCAACTCTATCTCTCATTGCCAACTGCGACAATTAAAATAAAATTAAAAAAAGTTGTCTTGTATTTCCAGTTCTAGCCATGACCATGACTATGTCTGATGCTAGATTTGGCCTTCCACCACCAACCAGACAAGAGATATAAAACAGCAATTTTCAGAGAATGGACAGCGGTCAGGACATAGCTATGAACCTTGAAAGAGAGGAAGCAGGTGAAGTGAGCTCCACATTCACCCTGCTGCGGACGCTGAGCCCAAGTAGAACACTGCACTCTCCAGGATGGAGGAAACAGGCCGGAGTTTGAGGCCACCAGGGTTGCAGAGATTCATTGACGGGTCAGGTGCTGGGGAGGAGGGCGAAGGTCGGATAACCACCCCTCTCTCCAAATCTCACAGAAATTCTTCTCGGGCCTTAACTCTAGACCGTGTGAGCACAATGGCACTGCCAGAGGTCTGAGCACAGCTGTGGGGGCCTGGAGAGCGAAGCAGAAATCTCAAAAGCTGCACAGGCCTGGAAATGGAGTTCTAACCCAGCCAGAGAACAGGGATTTGGTGAACCTGCCGGCTTTCCATGCCCTCAGAGTATAAACCACCCTCTTGGGACTAAGGAAACCCTGGTAGTTAAGTCAAGACTGAAATAAACCCACGGTGACTGCCTTAGGCAGCTGCTTGTTGCCTTCACTAAATACCTGAGAGGAGCAGGCTGATAAAGGAAAAGGCCTGCGTTCACCTCAGTTCTGGAGTCGCAGTCCAAGATCAGGTGGCCCTATGGCACTCGTGGTTGGCCATGGTAGGACAGGAAGCAGGGAGAGCAGCCAGGCCCTACTCAGCTTTTATTTTTTTTATTTTTATTTTTTGACAGGCAGAGTGGACAGTGAGAGAGAGAGACAGAGAGAAAGGTCTTCCTTTGCCGTTGGTTCACCCTCCAATGGCCGCCACAGCTGGCGCACCGCGCTGATCCGATGGCAGGAGCCAGGAGCCAGGTGCTTTTCCTGGTCTCCCATGGGGTGCAGGGCCCAAGCACTTGGGCCATCCTCCACTGCACTCCTGGGCCACAGCAGAGAGTTGGCCTGGAAGAGGGGCAACCAGGACAGAATCCGGCGCCCCGACCGGAACTAGAACCTGGTGTGCCTGCGCCGCAAGGTGGAAGATTAGCCTAGTGAGCCGCAGCGCCGGCCCCTACTCATCTTTTATAGCCAGCCCTCCCAGGAGAACTGCCTTGCAAGGGCACACCCAGTGACCGAAACATCTCCCACGGGATCCACCACCTAGACGCCAAAACTGGATCAAATCTCCACCTTTAATCTGTTAGTTAGTCATGAGCATTCATCCATTACCCATTTATAGATGACTTTAGGTTCAAGTCTCCAAAACACGGGCCTCTGGGAGACACCCAAACTATTATCCAAACTGTAACATTAGCAAAATCTGAATCCAATTTTCATCGGAATTGGGGTGACCTGACAGTGGAGCAAATTCAACACCCTTTGAAAGAAGACAATATAATCCAGGGCTTCCACAAAGTACTGTCCACAGTGTCCAGCATGAAAAACTTCCCAGGTGGGAACACAGTTAAAGCCAAGATATGGAAGCAGGTACCAAGATGATCCAGATGCTGAAGTTAACAGAAAAAAATTCAAAATAACAACAATTGCCATCTAACAGAAAATAGAGGTAAAGGTTGACGATGGGGACAAAAAGATGGAACATAATGCAGGGGAATTAGAATTATAACACTGGAGAATTAGAATTTTTTTAAAGAACCAAGGAGACATCAAATAGTTGCAAAATACAATATCAGGCAGCAATGAATTATCAAATAGGTTCACAGTACAGCATAAAATAAGACTAATGAACTTGAAGACAGGTTGACAGAATATATCCAATCTGGAGAACACAGAGGAAAAATAACAATCGTCTTACTACCACTATTAGGGAGGTACTCCCCACATCCCCTTTTCTTCTCTATTTTCCCAAATTATTTTTCTAAGAGAAAAAAAAAAGGTGGAAGATATATTTAAAACAATATTTACCTTGTAAGGAACAGCCGCACAATAATTAAGAGTTAACTGTGGGCCCATAATGAATGAAGAAAGAATACCTGGTAATTCAAATCTTCTTTCTTTTTATTAAAAAAAAATCATTTATTTGAAAGGCAGAGTGACGGAGAGAGGGAGAGACAGAGATCTTCCATCCATTGGTTCACTCCCCAGGTGGTTGTAGCAATTGTGGCTATACCAGGCCTAAGCCAGAAACCTGGAGCTTCTTCCGAGTCTGCTGGGACCCAAGTAGTTGGGCCACAAATTTTCCCAGGTGCATTAGCAGGGAGCTGAATTGAAGTGGAGTAGCTGGGGCACAAACCAGCACTCACATGGGATGCCAGGGTCATAGGTGGTAGCTTAACATTATTCAACAAAGCCAGCCCCAAATCTTGCCATTTCTATGCCTTCACTCTGTCCACACCCAGTCCAGGAGCCAAATTATTGTGCTTCTCTTCAACAGGTTAAGCATTCTACTGAATGGTCTCCAGACCCCACCTCACTCCCCTGCCAAAATTTAGGGCTCAGATCCTCCATTCAAAAGGTTCCTAGGAGCCAGTGCTGTGGCACAGTGGGTTAAAGCCCTGGCCTGAAGCACCGGCATCCCATATGGGCGTTGCTTCAAGTCCCGGCTGCTCCTCTTCCAATCCAGTTATCTGCTATGGCCTGGGAAAGCAGTAGAAGATGGCCCAAGTCCTTGGGCCCCTGCACCCATGTGGGAGACCAGGAGGAAGCACCTGGCTCCTGGCTTTGGATCGGCGCAGCTCCGGCCGTTGCGGCCATCTGGGGAGTGAACCAGCGGATGGAAGACCATCTCTCTCTGCCTCTACCTCTCTCTCTCTTTCAAATAAATAAATCTTTTTTTAAAAAAAGGTGCCTAGCCTCAAGCTTTGTGTATTTAAAGGGATATACTAGCTAACAGAATATGTCTGTTAGCCCTCGTAATTTTCATTTAAGAGGACACACAATGGAAGTACATCATATAGTGAAGAAAAACTAATCAGTGAGATCTGGAAGTTGGGGCTCTTCAGACCTGCTGCAGAAGGATGCATACTTTAGAGAAGCTCTGTTTTAAATAATATTCGTGGAAACAATAACGCCACCACCTTCGGTAGTCACTCGGTGAGTCCTGCACAAACACTTGATCCACACGGCATGTGCGTGACGCTCAAGTGCTCTATTTCCCTCTGTCTGTCTATTCCTCAGAAGAGCCAGATAGCAAATAAAGCCTTTACATTTTGGAGAACCATCCTGCTTCAGACATTCAACATTAATGCATACTGTAGGGCTGGGAGTCGGGAGGGAGACCTTCAAAGAGGGGAAGTACACATTGTAACAGAATTTTTAATCAAAAAATGGAGCACGGCATTTTACAGCTCTACCCCAGGCCCTCACAAAATGCACCTGTAAAATTAAATAATTAAATAAATAAAATAAAAGGGGCTGGCACCGTGGCTCACTTGGTTAATCCTCTGCCTGCGGCACCAGCATCCCATGTGGGCGCCGGGTTCTAGTCCCAGTTGCTCCCCTTCCAGTCCAGCTCTCTGCTGTGGCCCGGGAAGACAGTGGAGGATGGCCCACGTGCTTGGGCCCTGCACCCGCATAGGAGACCAGGAGGAAGCACCTGGCTCCTGGCTTCAGATTGGCGTAGTGCCGGCCATAGCGGTCATTTGGAGAGTGAACCAACAGAAGGAAGACCTTTCTCTCTCTGTCTATAACCCTGTCAAATAAATAAATAAATAAAATGTGCTTGTAAATCTTTTCAGTTTAGTTTTTCAACTAAATAATAATACCATGTATTGGAAGGTGTACCAACTTCCTTCCAGCACCATAGGTGCCCCACTACCTGCTTCTAACGTATCCAACGTCTCTCTACAGCCTGCCATGTGCACTTCTTTCCACAGCAGAGAAGCACGTTTCTTGCATAAACTTCTCATTCAAAAGTGCATCCAATGACAAATCTTTGCAGAAAGTGTTCTCAGGTCCTTGGCTCAAAGCTGCAGAGACTCCAAGAGGCCTAGCAGAGAACAGACACTGGTAGACAAAAGGACTGAGCAGAATTCCAGAAACCTCACAAAAACGGATTCAGGTAAGGCGACCAGCACTCTGTATCATGCCTACTTCTTTGCCTACCAAATATTGAGCCCTCACCCAACGCTGGAACTATTATAGGTGTTAGAAATAGAGCAGTGAGCAAAGCAACTAGGTACTTACCCTTATGGTGAGAAAGTTACATAAAAGCAAAGGTTTGGGGGAAGGAGAAGGAATAGTGAGGATGAATTAATGGGCATTTGCCGAGGCCCAAAGGCAAAACAGAGTATGACTCCCAAAAGAAACCAACTTGAGCCTTTAGAACTTTTATTAGTAAATAAACCTCTTCTCATTTCGTGTGGGCAGCAGGGTCCCCAGCCGGGTTTATTTCAGGTTCCTTCCTCCACACGTGAAGGAATTCACAGTGGAGGTATAAAGGTGTACAGGAGAGCAGGATTTATTCAAGACAAAGCAAAAGTGCATGTTCAAGAAATGTCAGGGGGCTGGCGCTGTGGCACAGCAGGTTAAGGCCCTAGCCTGCAGTGCCAGCATCCCATATGGTACCAGTTTGAGTCCCAGCTGCTCCACTTCCGATCCAGCTCTCTACTATGGCCTGAGAAACCAGTAGAGGATGGCCCAAGCCCATGGGCCCCTGCACCCACGTGGGAGACCCAGAAAAATCCCCTGGCTCCTGGCTTCAGATCAGTGCAGCTCCAGCCGTTGCAGTCATCTAGGGAGTGAACCAGCAGATGGAGATCTCTCTCTCTGCCTTTCAAATAAATAAGAAAATAAATATTTTTTAAAAAAAGATACCACATATCAATAATAAAATCACAATTTTTTAAAGCTGACGTAAGTTCAAATCCAAGTATTTTCTGTGATTTGGGGATAATTTCCCAAGTCTCTTTCTCATCTGCACAATGCAGATAATGCCCAACTGAGCAGGTTGTTGTGGGAACTAAATGTGTAAAGTGCCATGTCACAGTAAACTGTCTCCCATGTCATTCCTCTCAACACTTTTTATGTTGAGTTGTTGGCCAGGATTGCAATTATCCATTACAACTAAGAGAAAAATACTGGCCTTTTGCAATGATTCATGTTGTCAGCTTATAAGGCATTTTATGCTTACTACAAGTATCCTATGACTCATTCATTCTGAACACCTACTATGTGCCAGTACCTGAACTCAACTCTAAAAATACAGCCATAAACACAGTATGAATTTATGGGACTTACATTCTAGAGGAAAGAACACATACATGTATGTTGGTAAAAACACATGAAGAAAAGGTGAGGTTAAGGGAGAGAATGACAGGGAGGCAAGCCAGGAGCAGGACTTGCTATTTTATTTTATGTTAAGAATCAGGGTAAGGATCAGGGAAGTCCCACTAACCAGATGAATTAGGGCAGAGACTAGAAAATAAAGAGCCTACCTGGGAGAAAAGATGGGCAGGCTACAAGGTACAAACATGCCTGGCCCTTCTGTGGGACAGGTAACAGACTACACAGTGAGCAACAGAGGCGCAGGAGGCCAGATTACACAGGGTCTTGGTCATGGAAACTAAGGGCTTGGGATTTCATTCCCGGTGAGATGGGCAGTCACTGGAAAATTCTGCCCAGGGCGTGATGCGATCTTCCTTTCAGAAGCATCGCTCTGCAGGGTGCTGGGATGCAGAGTGGATGCAGGAGGGCCACCGCAAGTCTAGGACCACAGTTCTCAATCCCAAGTTGTACCAGAACCACTGGGACTTGCATTGTTTAAACACAGACTAATCAACACACACACACAAAAGTACAAAAATGGTCACAGCAGCTTTATTTGTAACAATACCCTAGACATCTTCCAAGTATATTTATAACATGAATTACTACTCAGCAATAGTGATGCACATGAACTGGATGAACACAGAGAATTCTACCAAGTGAGTAAAGCTAATCCCAAAAGGTTAACATATGGGGCACTCTGGTGAGGGGGTAAAGCGGCCACCTGCAGTGCTATTCTCCCATATGGAAGCCGGTTCATGTCCTGGCTGCTCCACTTCCAATCCGCTCCCTGACAGTGGCTTGGGAAATCAGTGGAAGATGGCTCAAGTCCATGGACCCTTGCACCCACTTGAGGTACCCGGTAGAAGCTCTTGGCTCCTGGCTTTGGACTGGGCCAACTCCAGCTGTGGTGGCCATTTGGGGAGTAAACCAGCAGATGGAAGGTCTCTCTCTTTGTAGCTCTGCCTTTGAAATAAATAAATAAATCTTTAAAACAAAGAACAAGGTTAACATATGATTCTACTTTCCTAAAATGACAAATTACAAAAATGGACAACATATTACTGGTTAACAAGGGTTTGGGATGGGAGTAGGGTGACGTGAGAAGTGTTGGCTAGCAAAGGAAAACAAGAGGAGCCCTTGTGACAATGGGGGAAAAACTAGGTAAAAGCTACAAGGGTCATTGTGTATCACTTCTTACACTGCACAGAGCTCCACAATATTCTCAAAGTAGTAAGTTTAAAGTAAATTAAAGTTAAAAAAAAAAAAAATGAAACACACACTACTGAACCTCACCACCGGTCCTTTCTCAGGTCTTGGGTGGGACCTGAAAATGAACATTTCTTAGTTTCCAGGTACTGCTAGTCAGAGACCGACCATCACACAGTAGTCGTGTTCCTGTTTTGTGAAGAAGCCTGAATTAATTTGACTCTAGGAATTAAGTTGCCAGAGCCAGTTCTCAAATCAGGTCCTGTCAGGTGGTTTTCCTTAAGCAAATCAAAGTCAGGAATACTCTTAATCATAAGGGACTGTGTCTAGCATAGAACACAGACCAATAAATGCTTGTCAAAACAGGTTGTACTGCCCCAAGAATACACAATAAAATCTAAGAGCTAAGTTTTAAACATTTCACAAGTCTCAATATACACGACACACATATTTAAGCATGTACTGTCTCCACTCTCATCCTGTACCTTTGGAACAAGTGCTTAAACTCCATTCCCTATTCCTCAGATGTAAGAGCAGGGAAAGGGTCTGGACCTCACTTCACATTTTTCTGCATTTTTAGTTTGTAAACATCTACAAGGTAATCACTAAAAGAACACAAAATCAATTATGTTCACTACTTGTGTTACTATTACATTGAAATGGACATATCCAATATTACTTTCTCAATTTCTAGAAGCCCTAAGTGACAACGGAAGAAAAATCTATCATCAGGTTAGGTTGCTCTCTACAACACCGGAATCCCATATGGGTGCCAGCTGCTCCACTTCTAATCTAACTCCCTAACGGCCTGGGAGAGCAGCAGAAGACAGCCCAGGTGTGCAGACCCCTGCATCCACATTGGAGACCCAGAAAAAGTTCCTGGCTCCTGCCTTCTGGCTTCAGCCTGGGCCCAGCCTGGCCCTTGCGGCCAATTGGTGAGAAAACCAGTGAGTCCAAGGTCTCTATTCCTCCTTCTCTAACTCTGCCTTTCTGATAAACGTTAAAAACAAACAAACAAACAACCTAACTAAACAAAAATTCACTGACACCTCATTCAACCAAAAGGACAGAGGTGGGGAGAAGTAAAAACTTATGCAATTGTATGGGATTTCTAAACCACACTCAAGAGTTTTTAACAAATTCTCACATGCCAAGATTTGCAAAGACATTGAAGTTATCACATTAAGTGATTGCCAAAAATTACTTTCCTAGTTAGTTCTTAAGAATTCTACTTAAAATCCCCTTATGCAATAAGCCTCCACAACAGCTTTCTCCGTCTCCATGGCAAAGGTAACAAAGCTTGAGGAAACAGAGGCGTAAATACTTAAGAAGCTTTTACATTAGCAGTAACAAAGAACTTTCCCGTAATGACAATTCCAGACACCTAAGAAGGGTGACATTCACAAATGGTTCTTTACTTAACCCATTAAGACCCAAGTTCTCAATTCTGCAAGTATTTCAATCACATTATTATTTTTTACAGATTTATTTGAAAGTCAGAGTTACACAGAGAGGAAAGGCAGAGAAAGAGAGGTCTTCCATCTGCTGGTTCACTCTCCAACTGGCTGCAATGGCCAGAGTTCCGCCCATCAGAAGCCAAGAGCAAGGAGCTTCTTCTGGGTCGCCCTTGTGAGTGCAGGGGCCCAAGGACTTGAGCCATCTTCCACTTTCCCAGGCCATAGCAAAGAGCTGGATCAGATGTAAAGCAACCAGGACTTTAACCAGCGCCCATGTGGGATGCTGGCACTGCAGGTGGCAGCTTTAACCACCATGCCACAACCCCCATTATATTTCAAAAACTTACCCTAATTGGAATATTTGTTGCTCAATTTAAGTCTTTATATGGGAAATGGGATATAATGGGTCAAACAAACGTTTAAAACATTGAAAAAGTGGGCTCATCCCAAACTGGGTCATATCTTGTTTCAGGTTCTCCATTCATTCATTAATTACATCCTCCAACCCTAAGTAAATACTAAAACCTATTTTGTTAGGATGGGAAAAGCTAAACAGAAAAGCAGACTTCAAATTCAGGTAGAGGTCTCAGGAACCCAGCATCCAGAGCAGAAAACTAGTTCCCATTAATTAACTGCCTTCTCTTCTGCCAGAAAACGGTGTCACCATGCCATGTAGCTCTCCATGGGCTGACACCACTGATGAAAATATTAGACTCACATTTCAACAAAACCAACACACAACCCTGCAATGCCATTCCCACACCCAGAAAGAGTTGCCAAAACCCATTCTTGTGGTCGGAACGTTGATCCCTTTGAGGAAGCAACTGGCCAGCCTTACAGAGCAGCCTGTCCCCAGGCTCTCAAAATGTCCCAGAGGGAGTTCTCAGTCACCGCAAAGGGGCCTCACCCTCCATTTGGTAAATGAAGGGTCAGGAGTTCACTTGGAAATGTTTTTTTTACCTGACGGTCCTTCTACATTTAACCCATAAAAGACTCAAGACATAGCATTGATAAAAATATTTATTTTGATCAATCTATCATACACAAGTCAGTAGAGGTTCCACTCTGCCACAGATGCATCCGAGAAGAGCCCCATGCTGCCCATCGGTGACTGAGCAATGTAGCAGGTCTCGTCCCAGCAGAGCACACGTGTTCCACGCTGCCCTCATCCGACGACTGTTTCCAAGTCCAGATGACCAAACAGTCCTTTACCCCCAGAGCAGGCTAAAAACGTTTGTGAAGAGGAGAAATAAATTAAACTCCCAAATAAAAACTTTGTAAGCATAGCTTAAGAACTGAAGACTTCAGACATTCTTGTTTGTGCACACTCGTCTATCAAAGTCAGAGACACTAGAAGACGAGACTTGGCCTCATTAAGCAAAGGAGATGAAGCACACAGAACTGCATTTCAAGACATACGTTTTATTACTTTTGAGTGTGATTACCTACAGTAAGCAAGAAGGGAAACACTCAGTTGATAGGTACAACGAGGTCAATGAAAAGACAAGATGTTCACATGAAGACTGATGAACCCAGAAAATTCAGCCGTGTCATGACTGAAGGTGACAACGGTTGTGGTACAATCCCATTTACTGACTGGGTTCTGTGGGTCAGGCTCAGCAGAAGAGTTTATCACAACTCCCAGTTATGATCCTTATTTTCAAGATGCAGAATTTGAAGCTCTGAGAGGGTCACATGTGGGAAAGCAGAGTGAGACGCAGCCTCATTTCCACCTGGACCAATTCTGATCCTGAACACTCTAGCCACTACGGAGCCCACACTTCTGAGCCACTTGCTGATGCTAAACAACAGGATGCAAAAACAAAAGAGACGAGTCTGCATTTCCAAATCCCGTCAATTCAAAGTGTGATGTCTAGCCCAAACGAATCCAACTGCGCCAAAACATAACCACGAGGATTCTGCAAAGCTTCTTTTTAAAAATTATTTTCTCTGCCCAGGAAAAACCCGAGTTGCATCTATTTATAACTTTCAAAAGTGTGTTAAAATCTCCCACTAAACCCCAAGTGATTTGCAAACATTTATGAAAACAAACTTCTCTTTCTCAATGCAATACCCACCCAAAATAAAGAAAATCTGTATCAGCCTTACACAGGTACCAGGAATAATTATCCTGTTAGTTCACCTGTTTTTCCCAAATAATGTGTTACTAAGCTATTACCCCTTACGCATCAGAGTACTGGGTTCTGAATAAAGCACTCCTACCAACCACTAACTGCTAGCCCTGTACAACGTGCCATCCTGAGCGAAAAGGACACTAAGACGAACAGGGTCCTTGGAGAGGAAAACAAACCAGGAAACCACTAACTGTACTGCTGACATCAGTACTACATAAACAATACATCTACACAAAAATAATAGACTTCGTATTAATAAATGATAAAAACCACAACAGACACAATTCTGTTCCTCCTAGGGCACAAACCAGGCAACCCAGGAAGACCTCTCTAGGCAATGTTCCCAGCACAGGCAGTTTGACAACCCTTCACAGGAAGTCAGTCAACTCTTTCGGAAGGAAACATTAAGGTGCCCAGAGTGACAAAAGGTTGAGCATCCGCAGCAGAAAGGAGAGGCACAGCGAGAAGACAAGAAGATGAAGAAATGGAAAGCGGGGGAGGGGAATGCCTCACCGGGTCTGCATTTGTGAAGTCAAATTGCAGCCAAAAAGTAGCACCACCTAGGACAGAGTCTATCCCCACCTCCGGATCCGAGTTCACCGTAAGGCCTCCAAAATACCGTTTCCTGACATGCAGGTCCTGCCTAATGCACCACGCAAGTTCACAGTGAGTATCGACCCTGTCCCAAAGACCCCCAAGAGGTTATGGTCATTGCAAGCTAATTTAGCACTGTTGAGCAGCTACTTTAGGTGTTTCCAGGATAAAATAAAATGTTAAGTAAGCAACAAACATAGTATAAGGCACTGAAAAGACAGACACAAAAGATTTCTTTGGAACACAGAAAGGGAGTGGTTTTGCTATAAGAGAACAGGATGTTCTGGAAGCAGGTTTCTATCGGCTAGACACTGAGGGGAAAGGGCAATCCAGGCCGGGCAAGGACAAGCGCCCAGGCAAAGGCGTGAGACGAAGTCTTGTGGCCCCAGCATGCAGAAGCATGGAGCCAGAGCACTGTCCTCACAGGAGGAGGCGGGGAAGACTGAAGCCCCTAGGAATACCTCTATCTGGTCCTCGTGGCAACCTTATAAAGGAGGCAGTACTATGCCCAACTTATCTAAGTAAGAGGCTGGCTCAGAAATAGGTTAATGGTGTCTCGGGACAAGGTATTAGATGATAACTTCCAGTGCCTGGAAAACAGTAGCAGTCTGACCTACAGTGTCATCTCTGACCACGTGTGCTAAGGTCAGGTTTCTCTAAGCAAATACGCAGTCCTGGAGCCCTCAGCTAGCAAGGGGCAGACCTAATACCTCAATCCTCATTTACAGCAAAGGACACTGATGCTCCAAAGACTACAGGCCAAGAAAAAACAGAGTGGGCTTGCTGGAAGCAGTTTTAGGGAGCCATTCCACAAGGGACTAAAGGAGAGAGAACAGTGAGGAGAGGAAGCAATGAAGACCACTTGTTGAAGAATTTTATCAGAGAAAACAGAATACCACAGAGGGGGTAAGCTGAGGGCACATATAGTGGTGCCCTTTGGGAAGAAAGGAGAAGCAGTGAGACAGAGGAGGTACAGGAAATTGCTAGCAGATGGCGCTGTGCTAAGCAAGAGGTAAGAGGACCTGGGAGAGGCAGGTGACTCAGTAGAAAGTGCAGGCTCTGGACAAAGACAGATCCCACCTCCTACCAACTATGTGGCCACTCTCAAGGACTTAATTAACCTCTCGTCTAATAGGAGAACTCCTAGGAGATGCCTAGGACAGGAGGTTGAGCGAGATAGCCACACGCCAGAGTGCAGTGGTCATGGTCATCACAGCACCACGAGCGTCAGTCCTTCCTCCAGAGCAAGCAGGCCCACCTGAGATTGTTTTCCTAAGAATACCTACACGTGTAGCTTTCACAGTACACACACATCTATGTGTTCACGTGTGTGTGTGTATGGAGTTTTCCACAGGTGCTTGTCTAACACTGGAAAGGTTATTTTTGAGCAAGCAATTTGATGGATAAATGTTCACATGCTTTGACTTATTAAGCGCATGAGAAATTATCATAAGGAAATAAAAAAATCCAAATGCATAAAAATGTTAATTATATGTTATATAAAATACTAGAAAATTGAAAAAAAAAAAAAAAAAACTAAGTAATCCGTAACTGGAAAATACATGGAATGTCAATTCTCATTTTATGAGATGAAAACAAAATCTTATTATGCACCTTTCTTAGAATGACATAAAAGATTGTATTCATCTCAATAATGATATGATGGGAATATAGGAAACTAAAAATGAATACACCCTTGAAAGTGGTAGGGTGCTAAATCAGTTCTGTTTCTTTTTAAAGATGCTTCACTATAGCTACAATAAGCTATACATAAGCACATATATATATACATGTATATATATACACACATACGATAAGCTATATATAAACACAAATTAGGAGGGGGAGAGAAATGAGCTCCCCGATAACTCTGCTGGGCCAGCCTTGCAGTTCCCCAGCAGCCCCAGTGCCTCCTGGCTACTGCAGCTCCATGTCAACGCCTCTGCTACTCTGTTTCCCGACGATTCTGACCCGTGTGCAAACATCTGCCCTGAAACATTCATTTCTGAGACAGTACCTCAAAACAGTTGGTTCAGGCATTCCGGGATCTGCACCCCTCTTAAAACCTAAGCAGGGGCGGGGACGGGAGAGAAAAGAGAAAAAAATACAAGTTAAAAATCCAGCAGACAAAAAACACGTACAAACAAGACATTCTTTTTTAGTCCACCCTAGGGCACCAAGGATATCCAAATCTACTTGCACTATCTAGATTTAAAAAAAAAAAATTATTTATTTATTTGAAAGGCAGAGCTATAGTAGCAGAGGCAAAGAGAGAGACAGACTTCCATACACTGATTCACTCTCCAGATGGCCACAAGGGCCATAGTAGGGCTGATCCAAAGCCAGGCACCAGGAGCTTCTTCCAGGTCTCCCACGTGGGTGCAGGGGCCAAAGGACTTGGGCCATCTTCTACTGCCTTCCCAGGCCACAGCAAGGAGCTGGATCAGAGGTGGAGCAGCCGGGATTCAAACTGGCGCCCATATGGGATGCCGGCACTGCAGGCGGCGGCTTTACCTGCGGCGCCACAGCGCCAGCCCCACTGTCTAGATTTACCTGCACTACAGAACAGCCTGCAGCCTTCAGTGAGGTGTGAAATCCCGTACTCCAAGGCCCAGCAGCCCTTAGGGTGCTCTTCCATGAACAGTCATTACCCAGAAATAAGCCATCACAGCTCGTGACTCACACTGAACCAGACTGTGGGTAAAATACAAAGACTAAACACCTAAAACACTGGCCAGAGCCCGTGCGAAGTCCGGCAGCACCGCACAGCGGTTAAGAGCACGGCCCTGATGCCCCACGGCCAGAGCCCGCAGCGCCCTCCCGCAGCACTGCTGCATGAACTTGGCCATGGGACCCCGGTTTGCTCACCTATAAAATGAGGCCCAGAAAAAACAAAGGTGGAGAAAGCAGAGGCCCCGCCACCAGGTGCCCGCATTCCCAGCGCAGGCCTCCCGGCACCCAGGGCCGCCTGCAGAGGTCAGGAGGAACGCCCTAAACGCACCTCGCGCCAAACGGTGTCCGAGGCGCTTTCACACGCATGGGGTCACCTAGCCCTCCCAACAATCCTGAAGAGGGGCCCTAACTCATTTCACAGATGCAAACAGATGAACAGGGAATATACGACTTGCTAAAGACCACCCAACTAGCCAGGGATAGAACGGGAACTCGAACTCGGGTTGGATCCGCGCCACCCGACAAGACCGCCTCAGATGACTGCATGACGGGGTCCCCCGGCTTCTCTCTTCCCAAGGCCAAAAATGGAGTCGCAGACTCGGCCCCCTCGCTTCCCAACAGTCCACCCCACCAGGCTCTTCTACCACTAACCCAGGTAAATCACGAAAGGGATAAAGCCCCAGCGAATGGCAAACTGGCCGCCCTTGAAGAGCTGCTGCAGCCTCTGCTTGGCTTCTTTGCTCAGCTTCACCATGGCGACGGCCGGCCGGCGCACAGCAGACACCACAGGAGCGACCGCTTCAGGAATCCGGGAGAAGGAGGTGCGCACGCGCCACGCACGGCCTTTACGGCAGGAGTCGTGAGCGTCGCCAGTAGAGGTCGTAAATTCATCACACTTAACTAGCCTGAGCCGCGGCGCCGCTGCCTGTGGAAGGCGCATGCGCAGCTGGTTCGCCGGGTTAGGGCGGAGGCTCTCCTCGTTCATCTTATCTAAGCGGCTGCTGGTTTATTGCGGCGCTACTGTTGGAGTTCAAAACTGCAACACCCCTTCCCACAGCCGTACCCGTTTTTTAAGGCCCATCTCCAACTGTTCTTTCCTTGACATAAAAGGAGACTTTAATTTAATTAAAATGGGCTGAGCTTTAGTCCTCGACTTTTGTTCTATGTGGGATACCTTGGGCGAGATATTTAACTTCTTTTCGAGATTGCGCTGCCTGAAGATTACGAACCAACGCCCAGTAGGGCCCATATCCATGCTTTCTTTGGTCCCCATAGTATTTTAAAGTTACTTGCTAACATTTTAAAATTTGGGAAACTTCACGTGAAATTCTGGACTTCTCTCATGAGTCAAGGCAGTGGAAACTGAGAGCCCTGCCCTCTGGCGCGCCAGTGTAGACCCGAGCAGTGGTTCTCAGCCCTGGCTGCTCTTTGAAACCTCCCTGGGAGACCGAAAGCCATGCTTCTGGTGGTTTTGGGAATGAGGTCTGGCCCTTGGCTTGCCTTTAAGATTCCTGTGTGAATTTTTTTTTTTTAAGATCTGTTATGTAATTGAAAGGTAGAGCTACAGAGAGGGAGAGACAGAGAAGTCTTCCATCCGCTGGTTCACCCCCCCAAACGGCTGCAATGGCCAGAGCTGGGCTGGTTGGAAGCCAAGAGCCAGGAGCTTCATCCAGGTCTCCCACATGGGTGCAGGGGCCCAAGCACTTGGGCCATCTTCTGCTTTTCCAGGCCCATGAGCAGGAAGTGATTTCAAAAGTGGAGCAGCCGGGACTCCAACCAGTGCCCAAATGGGATTTCCAGGGTTGCAGGCTGCTGCTTAATCTGATTGCCGCAACACTGACCCAGCTCCTGATAAAATAGCAACTGCCTGAGCTTTTGACCCCAGATCTGAGTGCAAGGGCTTTGACCATCAAACCTTCCCTGGTTCATTCCTCAAACTATACGGTCACATTTTCTGTGAAACCCTTAAGATGTCCAGTGGCCCCCAAAAGTTTGCCATTGCATGATATTAGTCTTGTGTTTGGCTCATCTTCAGAATAACAAAAACCAGTGTCTGTTATGCCTGATACAGTGTTAATGCTTTTAATGAAATAGTTCATTTTAACGATTATAAAAATTCATAGATTGCATTGCATCTCAGCTTATTGTACTATTTATTGCAAGGATTAAAATGTGTATGTTTAAATTAATAGTATATATATTGTATACATTATACATCATTTTACAGATAAGGAACCTGGCTCAGACACATGGAGTAACTGAACCACAATCACACAGTTGAAATGTGCTTTTTTTAAAAAAAATATTTATTTATTTATTTATTTTTAAAGTCAGAGTTACAGAGAGAGGGGGAGAGACAGAGATCTGTCACTTCTCAAATGACTGCAGCAGCCAGCGCTGAGCCAGGCTGAAGCCAGGAGCCAGGAGTTTCATCTCCCACATGGGTAGCAGGGGCCCAAACACTTGGGCCATCTTCAGCTGCTTTTCCCAGGCCATTAGCAGAGAGCTGGATCAGAAGTAGAGCAGCCAGACCCCCCAACCTGTGCCTATTTGGGATGCCAATGTCACAGGTGGCTTAACCCACTGCAGGACAACACCAGCCCCAAATTCTGCTCTCATGTAATCTGTTTGACCCTTGCTATTATCTGAACTCCTCCAGGACAGAAACAGTTTGTTGACAGAAACAGTTTGTTTCTTATCTCTTTATCCAAAGGGCCTGATATGTACAGAATGAGATAAATGTGGCATTTATCCTGTCATTTGAGCTAAATAATACCAAGGTCATTTGCCTCCCTCAAACAGATTTCTTTTAAAGAGGCACTACCCTTAAGACTTTCATGGTTGAGTGGAAAAGACAGGAGTACACAGAAAATTTCAAAGCAAAATGAATACATATACTAAGTCCCACAATAAGTTTAGGAGCAAAATATGATAGAAAGGCCAATGGAAGACACCAACATCACCTAGAGAGCAGAGAAACATTGGAAGAAGCCAATGGCAGGCACACTGGAGAGAGGGATTAAGTCTGAAAATTAGGAAGAGGGCCGGCGCCACGGCTCACTAGGCTAATCCTCCGCCTTGCAGCGCAGGCACACCGGGTTCTAGTCCCGGTCAGGGCGCTGGATTCTGTCCCGGTTGCCCCTCTTCCAGGCCAGCTCTCTGCTGTGGCCAGGGAGTGCAGTGGAGGATGGCCCAAGTGCTTGGGCCCTGCACCCCATGGGAGACCAGGAGAAGTACCTGGCTCCTGCCATCGGATCAGCGCGGTGCACCGGCCGCAGCGCGCTGGCCACGGCGGCCATTGGAGGGTGACCCAATGGCAAAGGAAGACCTTTCTCTCTGTCTCTCTCACTGTCCACTCTGCCTGTCAAAAAAAAAAAAAAAAAAAAAAGAAAAAAGAAAAGAAAAAAAAAGAAAATTAGGAAGAGGGTAGAGTCAGCAGGACTCATAGCCAAATTAAAGTGGAGGGCAAAGTTGGAAGCCATCGAGGATAACTGCCCAGTTTTGAGCTTGTGCACCTGCACTCATGGTCTCTCCACAAAGTCTCAATTATCTAGATTCACCTCTAGAGTGACTCCCAGACACAGGACTGGGAATAAGAACAGCACTGGAGTGGCCGCTGGTATATTAATGCTCCTGCAGCCTATTTCTTGTAGAAAGAACAAAAGTTGAGGATCTCCATTTTTTTTAAAGATTTATTTATTTATTTGAAAGTCAGAGTTACACAGAGAGAGGAGAGGCAGAGAGAGAGAGGTCTTCCATCTGATGGTTCACTCCCCAATTGGCCGCAATGGCCGGAGCTGCGCCAATCCGAAGCCAGGAGCCAGGAGCTTCTTCTAGTCTCCCACATGGGTGCAGGGCCCAAGGACTTGGGCCATCTTCTACTGCTCTCCCAGTCCATAGCAGAGAGCTGGATTGGAAGTGGATCAGCCGGGTCTCGAACCGGTGCCCATATGGGATGTCAGCACTTCAGGCCAGGGCGTTAACCCACTGTGCCACAGCACCGGCCCCTTTATTATTATTATTATTATTTATTTTATTTTTATTTTTTTGAGGATCTCCATTTTACATTTGATGCTCAGGCTCATACAGCCTCAAGTAGACGGTGACATCAGCAGGAAGTGAAGTGATCCACCTACCTCTGCCCCGCACCCCTACTGTCTGCTCTGCACACTGGAGTCAGCATCAGCCTTCTAAATCTCAGTTCTGCCAGGTCACTCTTCTTTATTTATAGACCACCATTGTTTTGATTGCTTATTAATTCTGGAAACTTTCGTGCTGACCTAGGATGCTCAGCTCTGTGTGCCATGGGTCCTGATAGGAAAAGGAGGCACAGTCCCCACGTCAACATTTTGCCTGCTAGTAAGAGATGAAGCCACATCTAGTAATAAATTACTCATTAGGCTAATCTTTGGGAAAGCAATAACAAACTCAAGATTAATCAGGAGGGCCGGCGCCGTGGCTCAATAGGCTAATCCTCCACCTCACGGCGCCGGCACACCGGGTTCTAGTCCCAGTCAGGGTGCCAGATTCTGTCCCGGTTGCCCCTCTTCCAGGCCAGCTCTCTGCTGTAGCCAGAGAGTGCAGTGGAGGATGGCCCAAGTGCTTGGGCCCTGCACCCCATGGGAGACCAGGAGGAAGCACCTGGCTCCTGGCTTTGGATCAGTGTGGTGCGCCAGCTGCAGCGTGCTGGCCACAGCGGCCATTTGAGGGGGAACCAACAGTAGAGAAAGACCTTTCTCTCTGTCTCTCTCTCTCACTGTCCACTCTGCCTATCAAAAAAAAAAAAAAAAAAAAAAAAAAAAAAGATTCGTCAGGAGGACGCAGGGGGCTGCAGCCCTGTGCTGGAATCTGGCTGTCACTCAGTTGTGTGATTACGGACAGTTTGTTAACCTCTCCAAGTCTCTTCCTTCCCCTGCAAAAGAAGAGCACAGTGGCACCCACCCCCATCAGCTGAACACTGCTGCTGTCTGAAAGCCAGCCCAGCCAAGCTAAGTTTTACTCTCACAGGAGCTCTACTGTTGCTGCCTCTCTTTTCACTGATTTCAGTAACAAAGATCAACTTTTTCTGGAAGCTTTTTCTCTAAGACTGCATGCATGGAGCCTCCCAGGAGCCAGCAGCACCTACTACAAACACAGCCATAAAGTGGGGAAAGGAAGGAAATGGAACATTCGAGTCCTCGTGGACTGCGGTTTATATTTTGTCTCCATTAGATCTTTTTTTTTTTTTTTTAAGGTTCATTTGTTCGAAAGGCAGAACAGAATCAGAGAGAGAAAAAGAGACAGAGAGGGAGATCATCCATCTGCTGGTTCACTCCTCAAACAGCCACAATGGCTAGAGCTAGGCCAGTCCAAAGCCAGGAGCCAGAAGCATCTTCTGGGTCTCCCCAAGCACTTGGGCCTCCTTCCACTGCTTTCCCAGGCACATTAGCAGGGAGCTGGGTTGGAAGTGAATCAGCCAGAGCTCAAACCAGCACCATACGGGAATGCTGGCACTGCAGGGGGCAGCTTAACCTGTAATCACCACAGCTCTGGTCCCTGTCCATTAAATATTTTATTATTATTATTTATTTATTTACTTTAAAATCAGAAATCTTCATACAGTGCTGCACAATTGAGGGAACCCAATGAAATACTTGTTGTAATGAAAAAAAGAACATAGGCTTAGAAGTCACATGGCTCTAAGATCAGAACTGCAAGATCTGAGTCCATTGCTGCCTTTCACTCAAAATGAGGATGGTAGGGGCCAGCGCTGTGGCACAGGTTAATCCTCCATCTGCCGTGCCGGCATTCCATATGGGCGCCAGTTCTACTCCCGCCTGCTGTTCCGATCCAGC